CAAGGTCCTGTCTGAAGGTGGAGGGCTTAGTGGTAAAAGCTGTGAGTGCTATAGATTCAAATTCCTGTCTTACTGCTACAAGCTCTGTGTATTTGGCCAGTTACAGACTGAACATATACTAACTGTTGGTTCACTTTATTATTATTCCTGAGATAGATTTTGTCCCAGGATATGGGGCAGAGCTAAAGCTAATCCTAAGTTACCCTTTTTCAGAAGACTATGGTGATACAGAAGTAAGGACTTAAGTAAACCATGGAAACTTCTACTTTTAAACTATAAAATATGAAAAAGCTCTACTTCTGAGAACTGATACCCACTTACAGAAGTTGCTGAACTTAAGAAAAGTCTGAGCTTAAATTAAGGTTAAAGTTTCCTATCATGGCTCTTCCCTTATGTAAAATATTTTGTATGCAAAGTTCAGTTCAAAACACATTCATCAGTGAGCATAGTGGTTCAGCATGGGGCCTTGACAACCATGTTTTCTGTGTTCAAATGCCACCTGGATCATTACTAGTTGTTAGGTGATTTTGCCAAGTTATTTAAGATCTCTGGGTGTCAGTTCCCTCGCCTATAAAATGGAGATGACCATAGTATCTACTTTGAGGATCGGTATAAGGATTTGTAAAGCACTTGGAATGGTGCCTGCCTATATAGCAAGTTACCCATTATTACAATTTTGCTTCATTTTCACATAAAAGACACAATGACAAATAAGGCAAGATGTCTGACCCTAGAGGAGTTTCTGGGTTAGTGAAGAAGACAGATTCAAAGGCAGAATTCCAATAAAATGTATTAGGTGCCACGATGGCTTAACCTGCCACTGGATATAATGGGGGCAGAGAGAAGAGGTAGCTAATTTACCCTGGAAAGACTTCCAGGAGAAGGGAATACCTAAACTAAGTCTTCAAAGATGAGTAAATGGTAAGGTTCTTATGGAATCTTTGGAATTTTTTAGCCGAAAAACATTTCATCCAAATGTCCTGATTTTATTTTTTTAAGATTTTATATATTTATTCATGAGACACACACACACACACACACACACACAGAGAGAGAGAGAGAGAGGGAGAGAGAGGCAGAGACACAGACAGAGGGAGAAGCAGGCTCCACGCAGGGATCCTGATGTGGGACTCGATCCCAGGACTCCAGGATCATGCCCTGGGCCGAAGGCAGGCGCTAAACCAATGAGGCTCCCAGGGATCCTCCTAAATGTCCTGATTTTAATAATAGTAAACACCCAGTAGATGAAAGAGAATTTGATCTTATCAATTGGAAAAGAAAAAAGCTAGGAGTAAATGGAGCCCAGGAAAAAGGGATTTGTATTTATAGTCCCAAGAGAAAATAGCATTGCCCAATATATAGCATTAAACCAATTGTCCCAGCTGGGAAAAAGAGAAAAAAGTAAACTCTTTCCATGGAAGAGAGAGCGTTTGGATTGAAACTCCTTCTTTTTTTTTCTTTTTATAGAATAACACCCGATGCTCATCCCATCAAGTGCCTACCTCAGTGCCCGTCCCCAGTCACCCACCCCCCACCTCCCCTTCCACCACCCCTATTTCGTTTCCCAGAGTTAGGTGAAACTCCTTTTTTAATATCACTGTTTACATAGTATCACAAAAGGAGATCCTTCTTTGTGTCATATTGTCATCCACACACACACACACAAAATAAACATGTGTCACAGAGCATCTGCCTTATTGCTTATACAAACTGGTTTCATTAAGAAAAGCTGTCTCTTCTCAGGACCTCTTAGCCTTTGTAGATGATGATGATGATGATGATGATGATGATGATACTAATAAATATCATTAACTGATTGACTATTATTAGCTAACCAATCATTATTATTCATGGCAGGAAATATAGAGACTCTGAAAGCAAAAATGTAGGGCTTAAGTTGTTGACAAATCAATGACAAAACTGGAAATTAAACTTCTGTGATCATGTCTCAAGCCTTTATAAGGACCTCCAACAGTGCAGCTACTAACCTAATCCCCTTCAGAGTTACCCCATGAATCCCAAGTTTTTTCATGGGTTATGAATTTATTGATCAGAGAAACTAATAGTATGTAATTATGATATTTGCACATTATTTTCCACATTCCAAAGCAATTTTTCACTTACCTTTTATTTCCCTAACTTCGGAGATTCCCAGCCTCTCTGAGGATGAGAATTTTTTTTAATGTAACAAAAGTTAGTGCATCCTCACTTGATTACACTTATTCTTTTTGTATCTGTTAGTGGGAAAAAATAGTAGCACATGTATGTCGAGAACAATAATTTTAACTGTAGATGCCCGGAGAGAGTGTGGATGCAAGACAACCCCCTTACATGAAGCCCTTGCTAATCAGGGGTTCTGCAAGTAATTATCAGGTGAAATTTCAGAGAAATTCATAGAAAGGTTACTCTAAATACATAAATGTACAGAACCAAGGAATACTGTTTTTTAAAGGCTGCCTTAAAACCCAAAGATTTGTGATAAATTCTTGTACCACTGAAGAAAAGAAATTGACTCTGTTTAAATCCTTTGGAAATAAGTAGAAGCAGTGATCTTTGTAAAGAATGAGAGCAGAGCCATAGTTAACCTCTGTCTTCCAGTGCATCCTTCTGATCTGGTCATCAAATTGGGCAGGTGAGGTGGAGGTGGGAGGGAGGGAGATAGAGAGAGAAGAGAAATGGACAGAACTGGAGAAAACCTAGGATCATTATGAGACATCATTTGAAATAAAATGCAGGCAAAAGTTAAGGAAAAATGCGTTCTAGGCCCATTCATGCCAGATGAGTGAGTGTACTGGAGATGAAAAGTCAAATTGGCTCATCTCTGGCCACCATTATAACCATCACCATCTGCTTGGCTGTATCACGCGTTCCCATTCTTTTTTTGGGGGAGCCGTTGGGATTAAGGAAAGCAAACTCAAAGAAAATATTTTTCTTAAGTTACTAAAGGATAATTTGCAGAATTGTTCCAATAAGAAGAAATGGTGGAGAATCCTTTTTAAAATTTTTTCCAGTCATCTTGCCTTGAGAACCCCAGTAAAACTGCATGTTGTAAGTGAGTGACATCTTTATTTCCTCCTTTCCAGCCCAAGACTTTCTGTTGATGGACTTTTTTGACAGTAATTTCAGGCAAGCCTACAATTGAACAGCCAAGCAGAAATTGTGGTTCTCTATTTGTTAAATGCTTTTGAGGTCCTTACATAAAAGGTTGATAATGAAGTATTAAGAGAAACATCTGAAAGGCTGTGGTTGGTCAAATTTCTCTGCGTGGCACAAAAGGGGAAGATGACCTTGTGCAGAACCCTGATAGTTCCATTATAAGAATAATCAAGAGTTAATGTTAAATTTAAAAATCACTCCTCAAATGCTACCAAAAACAGATTCTTGTCAAAGTACAAATGTTTAATTCAAATTGGGGCTTATAGAGAAAAAGCAATTAAAATCTAATTGCATTATACAGGAGATTTGTACATTTTCTCCTCTAAAGTCAGGCAAGACGAGAAGGGGTTCTTAAACCCTGTTTTCAAATTAGAACTTTCTTTCACATCTCTTTTTCTTTTTTCTTTTTGAATCCAGACACTTGAATTTGGACAGACAAGCAACCCAGCCACCTTTCACTGTGGCTGTGTCAGTATCGGAATGAAATGAACATGACCCCCTCCAGCAGGGAAGGAACACACAGTAAAGGTATTTTTTATAGAACAATTCTTCACACTGCCCTGGTGACTGGGGAAAGGAATCTCGTGTTTCTCTTTTGCTGATACTGAATCAGCTGAAGAATACCATGAGCATCAGTAGAAATGCTCTGAAATAGTCTCTGCTCTCTTTTGTCTTTTTGTTCTCATGAGGGGAAAAAGACTTTTTTAAAACATGAAATATTTAATTAAAATGCCAATTAAAAATTGACCAATTATTTGGTGGTTCATTTTGTAATTGGAAGTGTTGCAAATTACTGCCTTTACTTGCCAATCATTATATAAATTTGGCGTATTTCTTACCAACTCTGTAATAAAGACGGCTATACTCATGATAAGAATATACTTTTGGCACAGGAAGCTGATTTCAGCAAAGAAATCCCTGTCCTTGCTTCCTTGACAGTTTATGTAGCAATTGGATTCATACCTTGGTTAAACAGACGGTCAAAATGCAAACTGATAAAGAGAGAGACTGAGCTTATATATCTCAATTGGGGGGAAAACTCCACATACCCTAGTAACCTGCACTTCCCAGGTCTTTTTTCTGTATCTCATTGCGTAGTTACTTGTTAACATTTCCATGTACAGATACGTTATGTGGTTTCCAAGAACTAAATAAAACTGACAATAATATCATCTATCATTTGTGAGGTGGTTTATAGTTTCCAAAACACTTTCAACAACATCGCCTCATTTTCTGAGTAATTTAGAAATGTTTGTGAATTGTATACATTAAATAAAATTGTAGGAAGTTTAGATTCCTAAAATATTTCACTTAAAAATGTGTTTGTTAACCCAATACTAACTCAACAGATCAAGCTAATTTTTATTTCTAAGACATGATGATGTGAGCAGTTACTTGGAATATTCTGCAAAAAGTAAAGTTAAGTCAGAAAGTGCAAAGTAAATAAGATTCCATTGCATTTTGTCTCCAGCCTTCACCTCATCTCATCAGATTCAAACACAGTAGAACTTGCTTTGAACCACCTTCCTTTTCTCCACAATGCTGATATCAGGATTTGGTTATAGAGAAGGGGGGGGTACTGTCCATTTTCCCCAAAACTACTTAGAATTATTTGTGTTACAGCAATTTATTAATCTATTTTTAAATCTTTACTTTATTGGTCAGTGTCCTAAAGATTTGCTGAAATCAGCCATAAATTTAGGAAGAGCCTCTACTCTATAGAACAGTTTTTCCTAGGAGAGATCCCAAATCTTTCTACATTTAGGGAAATGAAAAGAGCTCTCTACCATATATTACATACATTGACCTAGTCTCAGTTCCACGTACGAGTCCAGGTTACTTACCAGGTGTAGCCAAGTCGGAGGATACAGGTGAAAAGGAAGATGCACACAGAAGTCTTCGTAAGCAACATAATCCTCTGGAGTAGCAGAGATAGAAAATTCTAAAAACTTGGGAGACAGACAAGATGGGGAAATATACTCCTCCGTGGTAATGGGATGGAATTCCCCTCAAGCCCCAACTTTCCTGGTGTGTAAGCGATCCCAAACAGAGTTAAGAGGAGGTGAAATGGAGCTGCCAAACTTCCAAAGAAGAGATTATCTACTTAATTAAAGTTTTTTTTTTCCCTTCTAAGTCCTTCAGCCAATCAGAACTCAAGTGCTAGAGAAAGATTGAGTCGATCAAAAGAACACTCCAGGATCCTCCCAGACAAATGCAGAAGAAGGAGACCGAGGAAAAGGGGACAAAGAGAGGAACACGGAGAAAGAGGACAAAGAAAGAAGCGGGGGAGGAAAAGAGACATAGCAAATCCCCTCCACATAATCACCGCTTGGAGTTTCTGTCCTCCCTCTTGCCTATGCCCTCCCGCCCACCACAACCTCCCCCACCCATGCACACTCACCCGCAGACCCAGACACAGAGAGGAGAGCCTGGTCCCCAAGGGGATTTAGAAGGGACTGTGCTTTCCCTGATGTCCTTTGTAGGGCTTTGAGACTTAATCTGCATTCAGAGTAGCTTTCTTCAGAGTAAAATATACTATGTACTGGGTGAACCTCAGCCCCCTGATTTGAGAATGTGAGGATTCAACCCAACCACCTCTATAAGTTAGAAAGAAGCTTAGGATATTTTAGGGAACCTGATGGTTTCTTCCTTTTAACTTTTCCATGGCACACTCACTTGTTGAACACCTATTGCATTCTCAACCCTACACTAGGCATTGTGGACATTAAATGGACATGAAATTACATTATTTTTTTAAAAAAACAAAACATGATTTCTGCCCTTAGAGACCTTGACAGCCCAGGAAGGTAGTAATATAAGAATGTAATTTAATAAGGTATTAAGTTGCTACAAACTGACTATAAGTCATATAGGCTTATTTAGGGAAGGTTTTCTAAAGAAGGTAGAATTTGAACTACAAAGAAGGATTGAGATTTCAATAGGCCGCCAAAACCCTACCCTCTTAAAACTTCGGTGGTGAAGCAAGTAGGGCACTGAAGCTTCTTGCTCACACATCTCTGAGTTGCTGTCCCTTCTGTCCACTGGGAGGAAGAGTCACCCCAGTCACAGTGCTGGGGTCCTCGAAGGGCTCCCAACTTACTTCCATAAGGCCATGTCTTCTGCTTTGGCATCCACATCACCTTTCCTGAGGGTTCCCCAGAGGCAATGGTCTGTCTTTGTTCTCTTCTTTTTATCCTTGTTGCTCCCTTTTCAGAACCCTTCCCAGCCAGATCTACACTGGAATGAAAATAAAGAATTATCAGATTAATTTATTGTCAAATTATTCAGGCTGGATGACTAAGGACTCTTGAGCTGGATATTTTGACTGGGTAACTTTGTTGACCACCTGGAATCTTCCAGACCAGGCCTTTATTTGGGATGCCTAAGGGTGAGATGAGCTTGGTCAGTTTTGACTTCCACTCAACTTCAGGTTGCTCACTCTCTCTTCTTTTCTCCCTCAGCTATATTGAGATATGATTAACAAATAAAAATTGTATAAATTTAAGGTATACAATGTGATGGTCTGATATATGTATATGTTATATTATGACATGATTGTCACAATCAAGTTAATTCACACATCTATCACTTCACATGGTTACCATGTGTGAGTGTACGTGTGTGTGTCTATGTGGTGAGAAAAATAAGATCTACTGTCTTAGCAAATTTCAAGTACACAATACAGTATTATTAACTATAGTCATTATGCTGTACATTAGATCCCCAGAACTTATTACTTACAACTGAAAGTTTGTACCCTCTGTAGGTCTTTCTGTCCTTTGTCATTCAGAAAGGGAGCAGCCAGGGGCACCTGGGTGGCTCAGTTGGTTAAGCTTCTGACTCTCCATTTCAGCTCAGGTAAAGTCATGCTCTTGGATTTCAGTCTGCATTCCTTGACTTAGCAAGGATTCTGCTTCCTCTCTCCCTTGGTAACCCCTTCTCCCCTTGTTCTCTCTCTCTCTCCTTCTCTCAAATAAATAAATAAATAAATAAATAAATAAATAAATAAAATATTTTTTAAAAAAAAAGGAAAAGAAAAAAGAGGGATCCCTGGGTGGCGCAGCGGTTTAGCGCCTGCCTTTGGCCCAGGGCGCGATCCTGGAGACCCGGGATCGAATCCCACGTCGGGCTCCCGGTGCATGGAGCCTGCTTCTCCCTCTGCCTGTGTCTCTGCCTCTCTCTCTCATTCTGTGTGACTATCATAAATAAATAAAAATTTAAAAAAAAAAGAAAAGAAAAGAAAAAAGAAAGCAAGCAGCCAAGTCCTAGGAAGGTAAAGAGTAATGATTCCTGAATTTCAATCTTGATTCTTCCCTGATAATAGGGACAAGTTTCTTTCCATTTACCTTATTAGGGAACTAATTCCTATTATGTGAAAAACTTCCCACAAAGGGAACATTTCATACCTGTTGTACAAAATTAATGCATTCTCCCTGTAAAAATTTAAATGTGATAAAAATATAGAGAGTGTAAATCCTCTTTGATGATCTACCTATTCTATTTTTTTTATTTTTTAAATTTTTAAATTTATTTATGATAGTCACAGAGAGCGAGAGAGAGAGAGAGGCAGAGACATAGGCAGAGGGAGAAGCAGACTCCATGCACCGAGAGCCCAACATGGGATTCGATCCCAGGTCTCCAGGATCGCGCCCTGGGCCAAAGACAGGCGCTAAACTGCTGCGCCACCCAGGGATCCCCCACCTCCTATTCTATACTCTAGTATAACAACTGTTAAGTTTTAGATGATCTTATAGGTTTTAAAATATACATAAATGAATATAAATATGTATATAAAAAATGTTTACCCAAATGGGATTATATAAATTATATTTGCAAGTTGCTTTTCTCATTTAATAATATTTATATATTTTTTAAATTTATTTTTTATTTTATTTTTCATTTAATAATATTTAATGCAGCTTTCTATAGTAGGGCCTAAAGATCTCTCTTTTCTTTTTTTAAGGAGCAAGACTGAATAAATTGTTGTACATAAATTGTTGGCGCTCTTATTTTGCAGAACATTTGGGTTGTTTTCAGCTTAGCAAAAGAATTGACAACTTTTAAATTTATTCCAATTTGGACTTGGGTGTTGTTGCTCTTTTTTTTTTTTACATAGTTATATCTTATTTTATTTTATTTAAATGTTGTGCTTTGCTCACCATGCTCCTGGAGAATAGAGTTATCTCAATGTCTTAGGTGTGATGGATTATATATGTGCATATATTTTCATACCTCTTAATCCCCTTTACCTATTTGACCCATATCCCCCCCCTCCCTATCCCCTCTGGCAACCACCAGCTAGTTCTCTGTATTCCTGAGTCTGTTTCTGGTTGATTGGTTTGTGTGTTATAGGTTTTTATGACCTTCTTTTTTGAAAATTGAGACATAATTGACATATAACCTTGTGTAAGTTTAGGTGTGCAATGTGTTGGTCTGATTCATTACAATATGATTACCATTGTAGTGTTAGCTAACACCTCTATCATTTCACATAGTTATCATTTCTTCTTCATGGGGAAAACATTTAAGATCTAGCCTGTTAGCAACTTTGAAGTTTGTAATTTTCTCAATCTCTCATCTCTACAGATCCTATGATTGGAATTTCCTCTCGATGTCCTCAAAGAGAGGGTTCTATGTAAAATAAACTGCACTTGCATAATTCCTCTAAAAATGAACTCTATTGCATTATTTAATAACTTTTAACATTGTAGACATTTGAAAAGATTTTTTTAGGTTTCCTGGAATTTTATACTAACAACTGATATATTGAAGCCTTTTACAATTAAATTTCTGAATCTTCTTCTACCCTTGTTTATCCAGAGATAAGATGTTTGCTTGCTAATATCCTTTTAGACCTAAAAATGTGGAGATAAAGGCACAGGGAAGAAAAACAATATACTAGTACTCTAAGTGGTAAACTCTTAAAAATTTTTTTTTAATTTATTTTTATATTTGAGAAAGAGACAGCAAGCCAGGGAGGGGCAGAGGAAGAGGGAGAGAGAGAGAGAGAGAATCTCAAGCGGACTCCTCGCGAGCACAGAGCCCAACACAGGACTTGATCCCACAACCTGGAGATCATGACCTGAGCTAAAATCAAGAGTTGGATGCTTAACCAACTGAGCCACCCAGGCACCTGAGTGGTAAACTCTCTTAAATAATTATTAATGTCCTAACACTATTCTATATCTTTAAATCCCTATTTAGAACTTTGATAATGGCACATTTGCTTTGTTGTACTTCTTCCTGAGAAAACATAGAAATGTTCATTTGTCTAATTGGCAAAAACTTAATGGTCTATGATGTGTCAAGCCCTCTGTAAAACCCTGAATTATAATATCTGTCACCATATTTATAGTCTGGAAGAAACAGACCAGTAAACACTCAGAAGTGCTAAGGGAAAGAAATGCATGAGGTGCTATGGAAGCATAATGGCCGTGTACCTAAAGAAACAGGGGCGAGCAGACAGGTTTCTGAGCATATGTAAAGACTTGGTTGAGTCCAAAAAATAAATAATAGTTCATCAATAGTCACAAGGAGGAAAGGAGGTCCCACACAGAAGGAATGACAAATTTGTGAAGCAACAGGGTACATGTGGAGAACTATAAGTAATTCTCTCTGGCTGCAGTGTGTGTAACATGGAAATAGAAGGAAGGCCAGAAAATTAGTTAGGATGCAGGTGGGGAAGGACTTTGTGCTGAGGAGTTTGGATTTTATCCTGAAGGCAACTGGAAACCACCAAAGGGTGATAGCAGATGTGTGACATAAAATTTGTGTACCAAAGGGACTATTTTTTAGCAATGATGGAAGATGGCATGGATGAGACTAGAGGCAGAGACAATTTAGGGCCAGTTGCAGAAAACCAAGTGAGAAGAGACAAATACTGAACCATGTTAAGTGAATAGAAGAAGATGG